GTAATCATTGCAATGAGACAAAATATGACTTGTTGAATGTAAAACTGATAATCTGTCCCATAAACTTTCACTCAATTCACAACAAAAGTTTTTTGCTGTTGTTTTGTTTTGTTTTTAAGTCTGCTTCTCATGAACCCTATTTTAAACTTCCACCATTGCAATTTCTGCTCTTACATTTTTATAATCCCAGGGCACTCCTGGTGTGGCGCTGTGGGCTAATGCGACAGACTGCAAAGCCATTTGAACTGCAAGGTCGGGGGTTCAAGCTCACCAGCTGCTATGAGTCAGAACCAACACGACGGCACTTCACAACAACAACAAGGGCACTCAAAGTATACAGAAACGTAAGGTAATCTCAGAATTTTCAGCATTCACCAACACCATGCACTAATAATAAAAGACTTAATTTTGTAAATCATCACCAACAAACAGCACTTTGGCATCCCTAGAAATAATTCAAAAGAGTCAAAGACCAAAAAAAGTTAGAAAGTGAGATGCGAAAGGAACAAAGGAATAAGGTACCAATGCAACAATACAGGTCAAAATAATGGCAGGATAAGCACTAGACTGCTAACCGCAAGGTCAGGGGTTGCAACCCATTAGCCGCTCCTCGGAAACCAGGGTCCCTATGACTCACAACTGATTCGACAGCACTTAACAACAACAACAAAGTATCTGTTTTGAAGTTGAATTTAAAAACTGGCTTAAACTAGAAGAGAAACTTCCTGATTATTGTTATTGTTAAAACTATAATAAATTATTCTCATAAAGTTATAATGTCTTTCCTTCCTAGTGTTCTCCAAATAATTTTTTCCATCTGCCTGGAGTAGCTTGAGTTTTGTCTCACATGGAGCAGACAACTGTATAAAACATCTTTGCAATATACTTTGCCCTACTTACCATGCAAGAAGTAAACCCCTTATAAAACACTGAAAGTTTGTTTTTTGCTTTCAAATGTACTACACAAATGAATCAATGATTTCCAATATAGTGCTTAGTTTTCTCAACAAGAAGATGAACTTTTCATTCATCTTAAGCATAACTATGTGAATATTCATAGCAAAGAAAAATCTTTACGCAGTTCAAAAGATCATTCTTTATTAGGTAAAGTTATTATACAAAGTCATTCTTAAGAAAGCTTCAGAAATAAGTTTATTTTGAATAATATGCTGCTTGCTTTTTTAATGCTTTTGAGAATTTTAAGAGAACAAATTTGCAATATAGCTATTGGGTAAGATACATTAACATGATATGAAAATGCAAAAAGAAAAAGAAAAATTGAGTGAATCAGCCAGTCATTTGCTCATATAAGTTGAGGCAGTTAGCTGACTTCAAAACTTATTTAAATAATTTTTAAAAATCAGAAACATTAAGCATTAACAACTTATAAAAACAATATAAAGAATTCTAGTATCAATAAAGAGAAAAGAAAAATACACCAAATATGTCTTACCTTTTTGTCTCTGGTCCTTACTTCTCCATAAAAATCTAGGGCCTCTTGTGCCTTTAAAAATTTGCCCCGATGTAACAAATATGCACAAATCATTACACCAGTTCGTCCCTTTCCAGCTTTACAGTGAATTGCTGCAACATGATTGTCATCTTCACTTAGCCATTGGTCAAGATCTTCACAAAAGGGTTTGATAAGCTCTAGCTGTGGTGGGTTATGGTCTTCAAAAGGATACTGTGCAACTATGGTTAAAAAAAGAATCACAGAATAAGGGGAGAAATCTCTAATTTTATTAAAAGTAAGTTAACTTTACAAATGTTGCAAATAAATTATGAACCGGTTTTTAAATGAAAAAAAAAAATTTCTAGGAAGAAAACAACTTACTGCCTGATAACACTGCAATTTTTTAATAGAAAATAGTTTCTCATACTCTTAAATTTATTCATTAAAAAGGGAGAACTACTATTATTTTATACACATGATGCTGAAACTGTGCTATGCTGAGCTAACACAGGTTAAATTACAACATCTCAGAGGATGAACTGAACCCAAAAAGAAACAGTGGTTAGGTCTCCTGTCAAAAGCTGTCAATGCATTTTCTAACCAAAGGAGCAATAACACTAATAATATTGCTTCACCTTGGTAATAAAACATATTCCCATAGACACTGTAGATTAGCAGAATCAGCAGTGGAAAGGACATTTTTAGATCTAATATTAAAAAAAAGAAATGTCCAGTCAATTAGTTAGAGGTAGTTTTTATACATGTTAATGCTTTATACATTATGACATAAAAGTAATTTACAAAAAAAACTGAAAAATAATTACTTCTAAAAAGTACATAATTGCATTAAAGTTTATCAAATCAAGTTTCATGTCTTTTCATATGAATTAAGAAACTAAGACTTATATGACTCCTAGAAAGTAATCAAAGTTGAATTGATTTTCTCGGGGTTTTTTGTTTTTTTTTTTTGGGCTAGAAATAGGACTTCAAAATATCACCAATAAATTAAATCTTACTGGTCTCTACCTCAATTCCATTCTTTTAAGAGCATTAAAAATTATGACTGATATTCAATGTAATAATTATGTTTCTCATCTACCTATTTGAAAAGCATGTCTTATATCTTCAACCAAGTCACTTATAATGTAGTACAGGATAAAAGTCCTTTCGGGCAAAGAAGAGCTCTTCTGGAAGACAATGGCTACCATTATAGTCACTGAGATGTTTTCACTTTGTCATCTATCTGCCTTAACTATACTATCATTCTATCTTCATTTCCTCAGTGGCATACAAATACATCAAAAAGAAAAAAAAAGTTAAATGCATATTTAAAGCTAACCAATCACTATTTTTACCTAGTAAACAGTTACCTAAATCCACCAAAAGAAGAAACACTCTTAGCGAACCCATACTGACTTTCAAATCATCAGTGCTTCACTTTTAAATTTTCAAACCATCTGATTGAAATTCTCTTTTAGATTTTCAGGCATATAGAGTGGCAAATACAGCAATTTTTAGTTCACGAAATCCACCTTCTTTCTCTTTTTGACTATCAGGGGACCATGCGCCAACATTCTTAACTCTGAAATTGTGTCCCGGCTCAAGTAGTTCCACACATAGAAGTGAAAGTTTTCGCAGGCGTGGAGATCTAATTTACCTATGCCTGGAGAAGAGGTCATTTAAATCATGTCCCTATTCTCATCTGGAGTCCTGATGTGGCACTGTGGGTTAATGCACTGGATTGTAAGATCGGAGGTTCAAGTTAATCACCCTATTCCTCGGAAACCCTATACAGGGTTGCTATGAGTCGGAACCAACTTAACGGCATATATCAAGCTCTTTTTACCCATATTAGATATATTCTTTCCCACTTGTTAGGTCACATTTTCTCTGTGGTGAAGGAAAGGTGGACTACTTACAAATATTCAGTCATTGGAAACCTTATGAATAGAAGGGGACACTGTCAGATAGCATTAGAATACTGAATACTGAAACAGAATGAAAAGCACCAGAATACTGTCAGATATAGGGCTGGAATATGATGAGCCCCTCAGAATGATAAGCACTCAAAATAGTACTGGGTTAAAAGCTGCCTCTTCAAAGAAGAGTTGACTGTGATGACATGAATGGCATAAAACTGTCAGAACTTCTTATGCTGATAGAAAACAACTCAAAATGAAAAAAAAAAAAAAAAACCAGCTGTAAATATCCATTAATAATAGGAACATGAAACACACAAAGTATGAATCTAGGAAAACTGGAAGCTGTCAAAAATGAAATGGGATGCATAAGAAGCACTGGTGTCCTAGACATTAGTGAGCTGAAATGGACTGATATTGGCTATTTTTAGTCTTGTTTGCTATGCTGGGAATGACAAAATCAAAAGGAATACTATCACATTAATCATCATAAAGAACACTTCAAGATCTATCTTTAAGTACAATGCTGACTATGATAGGATAATATCCATACGCCTAGAGGGCAGACCAATTAATAAATCTATTCAAATTTATCCACCAACAACTATTAAGCCAGTGATGATGAAATTAAAGAATTCTAATAACTTCTTCAGTCGGAAACTGATCAAACATGAAATGAAGGGAACAAACAAGATGGTGGAACACGTGGAAGTGTAGTAAGGAGCTCCGCCAGCAACAACACAGAATACCCGACCAAGCAGGCTCAGGGGATGGTCCCCGAACTCTGAACCATATTATATAAAGGATTATTTCGAAGGCTTACAGCTGGGGGAATTTGTGGCAGAAACAAGAAATCCATTGCTTTCTAGTTCGGAATGCTCAGCTGCTCCAGGAGCTACCATCTTGGGTGAGACCAAGTGGGGAAGGATCGGAGTGGCCACAGATGCCTGGCAGAACCATGGAGATAAAGCTGTGGACATTCTTCTCTTCTGGTAGCTGTTCATTGATCCCTTGCTGTCTGAGCACCTCCATTCGGGTGACTATAGGGGTGCCTGAGCTAGTGGACACCCCAGCCCCACCCTTGGAGAGTTCTACTATGCATGAGCACAGATCTACTCGAAATTTAAAGAGACATTTTCCAATTAAAGCCAGCCCTGAACTGTTTATAACTAGAAAAAAGGCCTAAACGGGGATTGTGGAGTGGGACAAGCAGACAAAAAAGGAAATAGGTCGAAAATTAAATCCTAAATTACGTCAAAATGACCAACAGTGGCGTCTTAAAATTTCTCAAGAAGAGTGCAAAGGGAAGCCCATTTCCTGATCACATCTATCTAGAGGCAATCAAAAGCATAAAAAAAATACCAAAATACACACCCATCTAAGTATTAAGGCCACAGATAACCCCTGAATATGCCTGAAAAATAGAAGCGGATGACCATGTCTGCACATGTCCAGAAACGAGATAAAGTGATTGAGGCAAATGAGCTGGAAGGAGACCTACACTCCATACTGGAAGATGGGCAGACGTTGGAAATGCCTGAGAAGGAATTCAGAAAAATGATTATAAAATGTATCAAAACACTATATAATGGAGTTGAAAAAAATAAGGAAGAAGTCAGGAAAGCTCTACAGGAAAAATCAAATCAGATAGATAAAACATTGGAAATAATTAAAAACCTACAGAAAGAGGTCCAAACAATTAATAATTGAATATCAGAAATGTACAATACACTGAAAAGGCAAAGGAGTAGAACTGAAGAGACAGAAGTCAGAACTAGTGAGCTAGAAGATAAATCTCTCAACACTACTAAGACAGAAAAACAAACACAAAAAAGGATAAAAAAAAATCTGAAGAAGGCCTCAGATTCATGCTGGACAACATAAAGAGGAATAACATAAGAATATTGGCATTCCAGAACAGGAACAATCACACAAGTTCACAGAGGAGATAGTTGAAGAGCTTCTGGAAGAAAATTTTCCTAACATCATGAAAAGTGAAAAGATAAGCATTCAAGAAGCTCAACAAACCCCAGGATGGATAGACCCTAAAAGACAATCACCAAGGCATATAATAATCAAACTCTCCAAAAATCAAAGATAAGGACAGGATCTTGAAAGCAGCTAGGGAAAAGAGAAATATTACATACAAAGGCAAGCAAATTAGATTGAGCTCGGATTTCTCAACAGAAACCATGCAGACAAGAAGGCAATGGGGAGGCATATATAAAACCGTGAAAGAAAAAAACTGCCACCCAAGAATCCTCTACCAAGCAAAGCTGTCAATCAAATATGATGGTGTAATCAAAACATTCCAGGATAAACAGAAGCTAAGGGATTTTGCCAAAACCAACCCTGCTATGAAAAACATCCTAAAGGGAGTTCTGTGGACTGAGAACCAGCAAGAACACATAACAACTACAGAATGACGTCCGTGGCAGCATCAACCTGAACTCAGTCAACAAATGGAAGAGTCAAGAACAGAATAAAATTATAAGAACAGAGGATCTGGGAGGTCAGTCTGTGATCAAAGCAGTAACAATGTGAAAGCAAACACAGCAGAACAGAGATCTAGGTGGTAGGAAGGTCAGGTAGATTACTATGTCTTAAATGGAGGGAAGAACTAATGGAATATAAGGTAACCACAATAGGGTTGGGGTGGGGGGTTCACTTTGGGTGTTGGGGAGGGCAATACAAGAAGGGGGAGGAGGCAGAAGAACAAGATAGATAGGGGAACACTGAGACAGGTTTGCATGGCCTAGTGGGACAGAGGTAAATAGTGATGCATACTCAACCTTGGAACAACAGGGCTCTGGGATACAGGGATCTAGGTATAGTTTGAAGAGGGTAAATAATAGTAAAATCCTTGACTGCCTTTTGAATATTAGTTTCCCTTGCCTACTATTGTAAAATACACCTTGAGTGGGATAGAAAAGAATGTTGGGAAACACGATTAGAGAAAACTTGTAAGCCCGCCTTCAGCCTATAACTGACTGGAATACCTAAAAGAGGTTCTACAACTTGCCCAGAGTATAGGACCCTAGGTGGAATCCTGAGTACCATCTAGAACCTTATGAGGTGAAACATTCCCACTAGAAAGGACAGACTGGAACCGCTACAGTGACAGAAGATACATCTTCATGATGAACCTGACCTATACTCAAGAGAGATTGTTGTTGTTATGTGCCTTGGAGTCGATTCTGACTCATGGTGACCCAGTACAGGGTTTCCAAGACTGTAAATCTTTAACAGGAGCAGAAAGCCTCATCTTTCTCCCACGGAACAGCTGGTAGTTTCAAAGTGCTAAGCGGTAGTTACTCTAAATACCAACACAGAGGGAAAGAATCTTCAAATCAAGTATCAATACTATCCCCTCTGTGCACAGGGTAGATAGGGACGGTAGAAGGCACGAAGTGACTGGATTACAAGGTTTCAAGAGGGAGCTTAGTTTAAGAGTATGGGAGGAAAGAAAGAGCCCCCACTGAATAACTGTCATCTTGTCTAGATGAATTTGGTGAAAAGAGATGGGGATAAGATTCGTAAGATTCAATAGTGAATAATTGTTATTATGACTTATCGTGACTGTCACAATTGTAAAGGTAGAAGTTTTATAACAAAAAAAGGGGAGTGGTTAATCTTAACAGTCCAGAAACAGAGGACCCTAGGACCATAAAGAGAGGAACGCACAAATAGAATGCAGGACCTTATCCAGAGAAGCAGCAATGCCAGAGATGGAGGCAGAGATGGGGGCATAGAGAGGGGGAGCAGCTGAGGACTCTAGATTCATGGACTAAGAAGAGAAGGACTAAGAGCTGGTAGCCAGGAGCAGACTTGCAGAATGTGCCCTTTGAAGATGTAAATTATTATATATGCTTGAGTGGTTTTTGTTTTTGTTTTTTTTAAAAGATAAAGTGGAAAGAGAGAAATACTGTTAACTGATAGTACATGGAGGGTATTATAATCAATGTAATGAAACAATGCATATGATTTGTTGAATATAAAACTGATGATATCCCTGTAAACTTTCACTCAATCCACAATAAAAAACTTTAAAAAAACAAAAACCATGAAATGAAGATACAATCATAATTACTGGAGCTTAAGAATGCAAAGGCTGGAAACAAAGAGGAAGGAACAGTAGTTGGAAAATATGGCTTGGTGACAGAAACAATTCTGAAGATCTCATGATATAATTTTACTATACCAATTGGAAAATATTGCTAATAAAGTTTTTAAACAACATAAAACACCGGGACCACACCAAACACAATACAAAGAAATGAAACTGACTACATCTGTGGAGACTGTGGGAAAGTTCCACATCATCAGCCAAAACAAGGCCAGGCATACCGTGGAACAGAGATCATCAATCGCTCATATGCAAGTTTAGGCTAAAGCTGAAAAAAATTAAAACAATTCTACGAGAATCAAAATACGACCCTGTACATATCCCATGTGAATTTAGAGGCCATCTCAAGAACACACATGATGAATTATGCCAGAAGAGTTGTGGGATGACATCAAGAAAATCATACAGGAAGGAAGCAAAGGTCATTAAGACAAGAAGGTTCACAATAAAAACTTAAAAAAAACTTTAAAAAAGAAGACAAGAAAGAAGAAAAATACAAAAATGGATGTCAGAAGGAACTGTGAAATCTGCTCTCCAGAATACAGATGCTAGAGCAAATAGAAGAAATGCAGAGGTAAAAGACATGAATGGAAAAAATTTCAAAGGACAGTTCATTAAGACAAAGTCAAGTATTATAATGGTACATGCAAAGATGTAAAGTTAGAAAACCAAAAGGGAAGACAATGCTTATCATTTCTCAAGCTCAGGGAACTGAAGGGGAAAAAAAATGAAGCCTTTACTTGCAATATTGAATGGTTCTATACGCGAAATATTGAATGACGCGGAAACCAAAAGAAGAATTTGGAAGGAATATACAGTCACTGTACCAAAAAGAAATGGTCAGTGTTCAACCATTTCAAGAGGTAGCTTAAGATCAAGAGCCAATGATATTTAAGGAAGAACTCCAAGGTACAGTGAAGGTATTGGCAAAGAACAAGAATCTAGGAACTGATGGAATACTAATTGAAATCTTTCAATAAACTGCTGAGGTACTGCAGGTACTAATTCATCTAATCCAAGAAATTTGGAAAACAGTTACCTGGCCAACTGAGATTCATATGTGTGCCCGTCCCAAAGACAGGTGACCCAATAAAATGTGAGCATCATCAAACAGTATCATTAATACCACATGCAAGTAAAATTTTGCTAAAGATAATTCAGTAACAACTGCAACACCACACAGGGAACTTCCAGAAGTTCAAGATAGATTCAGATGAGAATGTGGAATGAGGGTTGTAATTGCTAATGTAAAATGGATCTTGGCAGAAAGCAAGAGAATACCAGAAAGATGTTTTCCTGTGCTTTATTGACTATACAAAGGCTTTTCGAGTGTGTAGATCATGACAAGTGGTGGACAACACTGCTTGTGGCAAAACAGTATTCCCGAACATTTAATCATGTTCATGAGGAACCTGCATATAGACTAAGAGGCAGTTTTTTGAACAGAGCAAGGAAACACCAAATGTTTTAAAATTAGGAAAGTTATGCGTTAAGGTTATATATCCTTTCAATATACTTATTCAATCTATATGCTTAGCAAAAAATCTGAGATGCTGGATTATCTAAGCAAGAACATGGAATTAAGACTGGAGGAAGTCTCATTAACAATCGGAGATATGCAGATGGTACAACCTTGCTTGTTCAAAGTGAAGAGGACTTAAAATACTGAGGCAAATCAAAGAGCACAGTCTTCAATATGGGTTGCACTTCAATGTACAGAAAACTCCTCACCACTGGACTAATAAATAACATCCAGGTAAATGAGGAAAAGATTTAAATTGTAAAAGACTTTAGATTGCTCTGATCAACCATCAACACTTATGGAAGCTGTCGTCAAGAAATCAAATGACGTATTATTGCATTAGGCAAATCTGCTGCACTACACCTCTTTCAAGTGTTCAAAAGCAAAGATATCAGTTTGAGGATTTAAGTGCACTTGACCCAAGTCATGGTATTTTCGTAACCTCATGTACATGTGAAAGTTGGACAATGAATAAGGAAGATCATAGAAAAATTGATGTATTTTAATTATGGTGTTGGAAAAGAATATTGAAAGTACCATGAACTGTTAAAGGAACAATGAAATCTGTGTAGAAAAAGTACACTTACAATATTTCTTAGAAGACAGGATGGTAAGACTTCCAAAGACATCTTTCCAATATGTCCAAATACTCTCATACTTTGGACATACTATCAGGAGAGACCAGTCTCTGGAGAAGGACATCAGGCTTGGTAAAGTGGAAGGTCAGCAAAAAAGAGGAAGGCCTCCAATGAGATGAAATACCACAGTGGCAACAACAACAGGATCGAGTGTAGCAACGACTGTGAAGTTGGTACAGGAATGGGCAGTGCTTTTTTCTTTTGTGCATAAAGTCACTATGAGTTAGTACGGACCTGACGGCAACTAACAACAACTTCAATAAATCAGAATTGAGTAGCTCTGCTTTCTCAGTGTAATCTCTTAGTATTAAAACAACTGCTTCAAACAGCAGGTTAACCCTATCTCCATCCTTATTCTATGAATTTCTCCTAATTCTTAGCCTATTCTTTGTTTTGGTCTTTCTGACGATACTGTTAAGTTTATGTGATATATGTTTCCTACAGCACAATTTTTTTTGTTGTTAAGTGCAGTCGAGTTAGTTCCGACTTATAACAACCCTGCATACGGTTTCCGAGGAGCGTCTGTCCAGTGAGTTTGAACTGCCTACCTTGCAATTTAAATAGACTTTGCAGTCCAGTGCATTGTCCTATAGTGCCACATTATAATGAAATTCATTTTCCACAAACATTTTAAGACCATCCTTAAGATTAATCCTTATCTCAATAACCTAGACTATTTATTATTGCAATGGCAGTAAGATTTATCATTTTGATTTTAAGTATACAACACAGTGCAATACATTTATACCTACCTCTGCAGTTAAATTTGGCGGTATCATAATGTCTTTCTGCACATCTGAAAGAAAAGATTAAACGTTAACATAAAGTTAGTTTTTTTCACTTGAAAAAAATTATAACAATAGCAAACATTTCCTTAATCTTTGTAACAGCCATGCAAGAGTGCTTTACATTCATTATTTGTTTTAATCCTATGAAGTAGATACTGTTATTACCCCCATTTACAATTAAGAAATAATGCAACTTAAATAGTTATATGTATGCAATTAGACCTTACACATTTACTAGTAAAACTTGTGATTCCAATAATCTACAGCACTGCAAATTCGGCTGCATCTAGGCCATTAAAATTTACTATGGAAAATTTGCATGCTATTGTAATTTATTTTTTATTTCGAAAGTAACTATAAATAACTGACTAGTTTTGATATTACCTTTACCTCAAAGTAAAGCATACACAAGTCTCAAAACTATTGTTTTAAAAAAGATTAAGTTAAAAATAGTACAAGTACAGGGGCCAAGAAAAAGAAAATAAGAAACTGAATAATGCTAATACACTGGGACACAATTCTTACTACATTTCATTAAACCAGACTTTTCTGCCTTTTTATAATCCAAAGGTTCTCTTTCACAATAATCTCTCAGGTAACACATTTTAATTAGTCTGGAAAAACAGTATAATAAGTAAAATCAATATAGAACTAGTAAAAGGCTGACTTAGCATTACTCAACCAAGCTAAAATGTGTCTATCTAATATTAATGGTATGTCTGCAGCTATGCACTAGGTTACTCATGATTAACAGTACATGTTTACAAACATTAATGGCTCAAAAGAATCTTGGTAACTCCAACTACTAACCAGAGTTGTAAAATTTATTTAAAATAAAAAATTAGCTTTTTAAAACAAACACAGGTACATAGTTCCAAAAATCTAAAAATTCCTTTTAAATTCTGGCAAATTCAGTTGCAGCAGAACCCGGTCTGAGTGTACGGAGATTTTATGCAGTCCTTACCCTGCATTCTAGAATGAAAAATTACACTCTGTTCTAGGTACTCTCGCAAACCCCACTAACGTGCTCCACTATACATAGTATATGCTTCCATATTAACTTCTAAAAACTAAAACACTAAATGTTAAGATGCAACTGAGCTTTTGGGATCTCTGAGCAACACCATTGTGGTCAGCAAGAACAAGTGTCTTACAAAAGGTGGCAAAAAAGGAGCCTAAAAGAAAGTGGTTGATCCATTTACTAAGAAAGATTGGTATGATGTGAAGGTACTAGCTATGCTCAATATAAGAAATATTGGGAAAACACTAGTCTCAAGGCTCAACGAACCAAAATTGCATATGATGGCCTCAAGCGTCATGTTTTTGAAATGAGCTTTGGTGATCCACAGAACGATGAAGTTGCATTTAGAATATTCAAGCTAATGGATGTTCAGGGCAAAAACTGCCCGACCAACCTTCCATGGCAAAATGTGCTCCATGGCCAAAAACTAGCAGACCATGACTGAAACTCATGTTGATGTCAAGATGATCAGTAGTTATTTGCTTCGTCTGTTATGTGCTGGTTTTACAAAAAATCACAACAACCAGACTCAGAAAACATCTTATGCTCAGCACCAAGAGAGTCAACAAATTCAAAAGAAAGTGATGGAAATCATGACCTGAGAGGTGCAGACAAATGACTTGAAAGAAGAGGTTTGTAAACTGATTCCGGCTAGCATTGGGAAGGACAGAGAAAAAGCTTACCAGTTACCCTCTCCATGACATGTCTGTTGTTGTTGTTGTTAAGTGCCGCTGAGTCGGTTCTGACTCATAGCGACCCTGTACAGGGTTTCCGAGGGTGTAAATCTTTACGGGAGTAGAAAGCCTCATCTTTCTCCCGCGGAGCAGCTGGTAGTTTCGAACCGCTGACCTTACGGTTCACAGCCCGATTTGTAACCACTACGCTACCAGAGCTCTCTGTTAGGAAAGTAAAAATGCTGAAGAAGGCCATGTTTGAGTTGGAAAAACTCAGGGAGCTTCATGGTGAAGGTAGTAGTTCTAGAAAAGCTACTGGAACTTTGAACTGGCGATGAGGCACCAGTTCAAGAATCTGGTTAAAATTCTGACTTTTAATGATGACAAATAAAAGATCTTATTTGTGTGTATGTGTGGTCTCAAATAAGAGTTTATGGACCTGTATTATAATGTACAAATTCTGAAAAATACATGTAATTCCTCTACTTCAAAGCGTTTCAAACCAAAACCAAATTCACATGAAAACCAAACTGATTACAAACAAGTTGCAATAATACACTGGTCTCTAACTAGTCAGACCTGAAATAAACTTAAAACAACACAAACCTTTTGCTTTTTAGTTTACTGAGTTTTGGTAAAAAGAAAATTTACTTAGTAATGACATGCATATTTATATATCCTTACTAAACATTTCATATTCATTGATTAAAAAAACATGATAGGTAGGAGGAAAATAACTGATCAAGAAAATAGTCACACTGTACACTTTCATGGGTATTGACCAGAGAGGAGATGTGGTCAACAGCAAGGAATTAATAATGAGGTATTTTATTAAGAATCAAGTAAAGATAGGACACAAGGAATAAGGAAGGCACAGGACTAGCACAACAGAAAATAAATGTTTTGGGTTTCATGCAGTTTCAATTCTCTATAGCTCCCAAGCTGTCTCTGGAAGTCAAATGTTTATAGACTGGTAAGTACTCCTTAAGAGCTCCTTCATGAATTGATTCTCAAATATTACTGTTAAGAGAAAGAATATGAAAGGAAATGGAAAATAATGACTTACTAAATATCTACTGGATAAGTACGCACCTTACTAAAGTGTCCCTATGTGTTTTGTTTCATCTTTATAAGCACATGATAATAGTTCATTATCATCTTCATTTTATAGCTGAGAAAGCTAAGCTTTAGAAAGCATTGGATAACTTGCCCCAAGTTATAATTTTTAAGTGGCAGTGACAGGAGTCAAGAATAGTACCTCTGGTTCTCCCACCTAAACTGTCACTTAATTCATAATGAAAACTTAAAACTACAAAGTTAATTTCTTCCATTACTGCTCTAAACTTTCACTCATAATTTTTAGGTAATAGTTTTAAAAACAAATGCAATAAACATTTTAGCCAAAGCCAGCATTCTTACAAGAACAATATTTGGCACAGAAGAACCAACAAGCAATGATAACAAAAATCAATTTTTTAAATCTACAGGCAGGTATAGATAGATAGTAAGTGAGCATATATACCGGGGCTGGTAGTGATTAAAGTTCCCTGGGAAGGGGGTTGATAGAGAAAGGATAAACACTTTTTTCTTACTTAAAACCTCACTCACACACAAAATGCTTCCTTAAATGCTTTGTGCTATTCTAATGATAAGACAAGACTTTTAATAAGCCAAAATTAAAGATATACAACAGTAAATGGGATTTGACTGAGACAAGTACAAGTGTTCAAGGTAAACTGAACCATTTCCTTATAACTTAAAATCAACTTAAAAGATACCTTTTCTTTTTATCATTACCTCTCATACCTTATGAGACAAAGAAACTGACGAGACAATGAAAAACAGATTTTTTGAAGCTGTAGACAGAAAGTGAAGACAGGGTAACATTAACGAGAAAAAAGTGTCCAGAGAAGGGAGACTTGCCATAGACTCAGCTAGGCAGGTAGGCTTCTTTATGAAGAAGGCTTTTCATGAAGCAATTCCTGTCTTTATTTAAAAGAAGGGGGAAGAAAAAAAACTTTATGAATAAAATTAACAACAAAAAGGTTTACTGTAGAATGATGGGAGAGTTGGATGTCAAATCAAATATATGATAAAATATAATTAAAAGTTTGAAAGTTAGTACTCAGAAAACAATATATGTTTCTCAAAGACAAAAATTATATGTATGCCTTTATTCCCTATTCTTCTTTCCTTATTTCTCCTACCCTCACCAGAGTGTAAATTATACAGACGAATATACAAATGAAATACACACCCAAAAAAACAAACTGATTACCTGAGTTTCAGTATACTTGATTTTGGTTAATGATGTTGTTACTGCCAAGTGCCATCAAGTAGGCTCTGACTTATAGTGACCTGTATAGGGTTTCCGAGGAGCGGCTGGTGGGTCTCTGAACCACCACTTTGGATCAAAGCAACCATGAAATGCATTTCCCTCATCCTACCCTACAGTGCCATATGGTGGTGGCATTTTAATAAAAGGGCAATTATTTTAATAAAAGGGCGTATTAGCCTTGTATAAGGCACTGTAAGAGGCTAATATTGCCCTTTTATTAAAATAAACTCTTGAATGCCTGAAGAAAATATGACTAGAGATATTAAAAGATACTGCTAATTATTAGAAGTTCCACATTAAGAATTCTTTATCCATGTTTATCATAACTGCCATAAAAATTATAATATACTATTTAGTACAGGTATGGCAGAGTCCTGGTGTGGCACTGTACGATAAGCACTGGACTGCAAGGTCAGTATGAACCACGTGGTGGTTGTTCAAATTCACCAAATGCTCCTCAGAAACCCTATACAGTGTCACTATGAGTTGGAACAGATTCAATGACACCTTAACAACAATATAATGAAATGTTTTAGAAGATCTTTCAATTTATTTATGTTTGAAAATACTTATCACATGGAATTAGTCTCTTAAAAATAAAGGAAATAAAACAGAAATATCTGCTGCCTGCAGACTCATTTACTTAGAGTCAAAAACACAAACAGAAAGAAGTTGAAAAAAAAATTGAAAATGCTATCAGAAATCATAACATGCTACAATCTGGTAGTTCTAGAAACTCCTGGGGTGAGTACATCTGGAAGATTTAAAACAAAAACAAGTAACAGAAGGGAATAAACAGTAGATGGTCTGCTAACACACGAACCTGTGTGACTTTACACAACTCACTTAAAGCCAACATGTTACTGTTAAGACATCTACAATACTGACTGTCAGATCCTAAGTCCTAAGAACTGGAAGCAAGAAACTACTACTGTATACGAGAATGAAATTAATTTTCTACCCTTTATTTGTATATAATTTAAACTTGAAGCAAACTTTCAAAAAGAATTCATGTTTAGCATCTTGGTGTTTTCCCTTCTGAGACACTCTAAAATGCCAGTTCTAAGATGCCAAGCCTGAAGTGACTTTTTTTAATGGACTCAAGCTTTTAACAGCTCTTGTCTTTTCTGTTTTTCACAAAATTTTACTTGTTCAAAAAGTACTAAGTTTTGTGGTTTATACTTTTCTACACAAAAACAACTGCAGCAAGGCTCACTGTAGGAGAGGTTTATCAAGAAATATTCAGATCATTTCTACCTGGGGTCCACGTAAACTTAAGTTTTTATAATACCACATTTAACTTTCTTTCATCTTGTTTCCTATTACCACTCCCCATATATACACATACCCCTCAATCTGACTATAATAGACTGTATCTGCATTAGCTACAACACTATTTTACTGACAAGCTTCTTGCAAGCCATTCCCTCTGCATGAAATGCATTTCCCTCATCCTAGGTCTTTAACCCTTTTAGATTCAGGCAATTATCTCTTTCCTTTATGAAGCCTTCCTTGCCTATGCACTTGGGTACAATTGTATTTCCACTGTTATCTTCTCTACAAGAGTTATACCTCTTCATAATACTTTGTCTACCTTTCATTAGACTACAAGCTACTTGAGGACATAAACTACATCTTCAGTCACCTCTGTACACAACATGCTTTATAATGTCTAGCATGAGGTATGCATTCAACAAATGTTTGCTCCCATATGAATTAAAAAAAATATATATATATATATATATATATATATGAAAATACCAAAATGCATTGCCACTCAAGAGACTCCTGAAAACTCACTGCAGCTGTTATGTGCAATGGAGTCAGTTCTGATTCACAGTGGCCCTAAGAACTGGAAGCAAGAAACTACTACTGTATAGACCTGCCCTATAGGATTCCCTTAGACTGAAATATTAGTGGGAGCAGTTTGCCAGGTCTTTTCTTCTGCAGAACAACTGGTGAGTTCAAACCACAGACATTTCAGTTAGCAACCACGCATCTAACCACTGCGCCACCAGGGCTCCTGAAAACTAGGAGTAAACAATGTTTGTATACATTCTACTCTCAATAATTTCTGAAATCTTACAACAGAAAAGTCATTAAAGTCAAGATTAAAAACTAAATCTTACATACTGTTTTTTTGTTAAAGATTTAAAAATCCACTGAAGGCAGAAAAGAATCTTGTTCTTACATTAAAAAAAAAACTCTACAGAAATTAAAGCAGTGAATCAGTATATATAATTACATTTAAAAATTTTTCTTACTGCTTAATTTATAGATATCATATGGGGGTGGGTGTGGGGGAGAGACCAGGGAGAAAGATAATATGTGTCATTCTTTAATAAACGGTTAGAAAATGGTCAGTATTTGACAGTAAAAACAGTCTTCAAGGACAAAAAAAGTCTTTTTATTACTTTCTAAGTCCTTTTCACACTTCTATTCTCAAAGTCACAAGAAAAAGTTGAAGATATGGTCAATTAGCTGTATTAAGTCAGTAATCCTTACAATCTTGCCACAGATAAACGAAACTACCCAATTCAACAATTTTAGGTAACTTGTTTGTTATACACATTTAGAGAATATCCTAACAGTTGAATCAGTCGACATAGGCACAGTACAGAAAAGTTGTATGTATTCTGCAGTCTATCTCTGTGGAAGACACTATTAATTAATGCTCTAGCAAGAAATCCTGCTGTGAACTACACTTCCAATTACCACATGGCTATAGGTTCAAAGATGGGCTAGATGCCAAGTCATTTAAAGCAGATCAAGTAACATGAATCTGCACCAATATGAATTTATAGCATCATTATACTTTCCAAATAATCTAATAATACACTCAATCAGACTTCCTGAACTAATATTTATTCTGTTAAAAGACATCTTTCTTTAGCTTTACCTACTTTTAAAAAGAAGTAAATTTCACTTAATAGTTATTTTGAAGATATTTACAAGCATACAAATAAAAAATATACTTACAGATTGTATATCTTGTAATGGTTTTTATGCTTTGAATCCAAAAACCTTTAAACAAAACAAACAAAAAGCCACCATTAACAAAAATAAGTTAACATTTAAAATTTACATTAATATTATTGGGAGAAAAAATAAAAAGATTGATTCCATTTTTTCCTAATCTCAGATATCATTTAAATATACCCCAATAAATATTCTCTTCATGGGTTTAAAGTAATAATATTATTCTTAAATAATAATACATTACACACAGATTTATACAATCTGAAGTAAAGGAAGAGCTTTTCACAGAACAAATATTTTCATAATCTTCTGTCTTCATCCTAACATGATGAGATTTAGTATTTAGGAAAAAAAAATCTTTAAAAGGCAGCATTAGAATTTAGTCAAGTTCACCTAGCTCATACAGATTTAGAATAGTCTCCTGTGATCAAGTATGCTTAAATTAACCCTAAAATGACATCCTCCTTCAGTTTCATTCAGACTAAAAACTTTGATATTTGAAAGGTGCAAGTAATTACTATTAACTCTGCACAAAGTTCACAAACATTTCACATACACATTCTCTTTTGACACACAAACATCTGAGAGGTACAGCTTATTTACATTTTACAGATGGGAGAAATAGGTTACCAAGAGATTGATTTTCCTAAGGTGACAGAACTAATTAATAAGTCAAAAAATCAGAATCAAAAGCCTCTCCCTCAAAACAGTTAATTAAGGAACTAAACAACATCCATTTACTACTTAACTACCTGTCAGACACCCACCAGTCATCTGTCAGTTTGTTATACTGTGGTAGCTTGCGAGCTGCTATTATGCTGTAAGCCATACCACTGGTATATTAAATACCAACAGGGTACACCCCAAGGTGGACAAGTTTCAGTTGAGCTTCCAGACTAAGACAGACTAGGAAGATGGAGAGACAGATTACTTCTGAATGTTTAACCACCGAAAACATCATGACTAGTATGAGAACACTATCAGATACCACAAGAATATTGAATATTGAAACATGATGAATAGCACCAAAATACTGTCAAACATAGTGCTTGGAAGATACACCCCTAAGGTTGGAAGGCCCTCAAAATATGACAGGGCAAGAGCTGCCTCCTCAAAGTAGAGAGCTGACCGTGATGACTTAAGTAAAGTTATCAGGAACTTCATTGCTAATAGGGTACAACTCAAAATGAGGAGAAGCAGCAGGAACCCTCCTTCAATAATCGAAACATGGAATGTGAAAATATGAATTGAGGAAAATTGGAAGTTGTCAAAAATGAAATGGAATGCAAAAATATTAATATCTTAGACACTACTGAAATGCAATGGACTGGTATTAGCCATTTTGAAACTGACACTCATATGATTTACTATATACTGGGAATGGGAAAAAAAATAAAGAGGAATGGCACTGCATTCTCTATCAAAAAAAAAAATTCAAGATCTATCTTGAAGTATAATGCTGTCTGTGATAGGCTAATACCCATATGCTTATAAAGAAAACCAGTTAATACCATGATTATTTAAATTTACTCACCAACCACTAAAATCAGTGATGATGAAATTGAAGAACTGTAACAACTTCTTCAGTCTGAAATTGATGAAATATGAAATCAAGATGTACTGATAATTATTGGTGATTGGAATGCCATGGTTGTAAACAAAGAATGATCAGTAGTTGGAAGGTAAGGCCTGAGTGACAGAAATGATACTGGACATGGCACAATAGAATTTGGCAAGACCTATGACTTCTTCATTCAAACAACATAAAAGATGCACCTCACCAGACAGAACACACAGAAATCAAATTGACTACATCTGTGGAAAGAGACAGTGGAAAAGCTGAATTATTATCAGCCAAAACAAATCCAGGGGCAGACTGGAACAGACCTTCAGTTGCTCATATGCAAACTCAAGCTGACACTGATGAAAATTAACAAATTAACGTAAATACATATAGCCAAAATTTTTACCTTGAACATATCCCACCTAAATTTAGAGATCACCTCAAGAAAAAACTTGATATATTAAATAATAAAGGCTGAAAACCAGAAGAGCTGTTTGTGGGATGCCATCAAGAACGAACATCATACAGGAAGAAAGCAAAAGGCTATAAAAACAAGAAAGAAGGAAAAGATCAAAATGAGATGTCAGAAGAGGCCTTGAAACTTGCTTTCCAACATAGAGAAGGCACAACAAATGGGAAATAAGTAAAAGAGCTGAACAGAACATTTCAAATGAAACTGGAAAGGACAAAGTCAAGGGCAGCTTGAGAAGACAAAGTAGCATAATGAAATGCACAAAGATATGGAATTAGAAAATCAAAAGAGAAGTACATGCTCCACATTTCTCATACTGAAGAACTATTTCAAGAGTTTTAGCATATGATCAAGAGCCAATGATAATGAAGGAAGAAATCCAAGGTACACTGAAGGCATATGCAAATATCAAGGGAATTGATAGAATAAAAAATGAAATAATTCAACAAACTGATGCAACACTGGAGAAACTCACTTAATCTATGCCAAGAAATTTTAAAGACTGTTACCTGGCTAACTGACTGGAAGAGATCCCTATTTGTGACCATTCCAAAGGGAGGTGACCCAATGGAATGCAGAATTAATATCTTGTGCAAGTAAAATTTTGCTAAAGATAATACAAAAAGGGCTGCAACCATACATTGACAGAGATCTTCAAGAGGTTCAAGATGGATTCAGAAGATATGGAAAGAGGGATATCATTGTTGACATCAGATAGATGTTGTCTGAAAGCAAAGAATATCAAAAAGATACTTTCCTGTTCTATATTGACTATACAAAGGTTTCAATGGTATGGATCATGACAAGCTATGGACAAAAGCGCAGAGAATGAGTATTCCAAAATACTTAATTGTGCACATGAGGAACCTGTACATACACCTTGTTCAAACAGAATAAGGGACTACTGAATGGTTTAAAAATAGGAAAGGTGTTCACCATGGTTGTATTTTTTCACCATACTACTCACTCTGTATGCTGAGAACATAATCAAGAAAACAGGATTATATGAAGAAATATTGGTTTGCAGTAAGACTCACTAATAACCTATGATATGCAGATAATACAACCTTACTTGCTGAAAGTGAAGAGGACTTTAAAAACTTACTGATGAAGATCAAAGACCACAGCCTTGAGTATGGGTTGCACCTCAATATAAAGAAAACAAAAATCTTCACCAATGTATCAATAAAGGATGTCATGATAAATGGAGGAAAGATTAAAGTCCTCAAATAATTCATTTTGCAATAACTTCAAATGCATGTGAAAGTTAGACAATAAATAGGGGAGGCCACAGAAGAATTGATGCAATCAAGCTAGGGTGTGGGAGAAGAATATTGAAATTACCATGGACTGGCAGAAGAATGCACAATTCTGTGTTGGAAGAAGTACAGCCAGAATGCTCCTTAGAAGCCATGATGGCAAGACTTCATCACCCATACTTCAGATATATTATAATTAGGGGCCAGTCCCCGAAAAAGGACATCATGTTTGATAGAGGGTCAGAGAAAATGGGGGAGACCCTCAATGAGTTGGATTGGCACAGTGGCAGCAGCAATGAGCTCAAGCTTTTCAACGATTGTGAAGATGGCAAAAGACCGAGCAGTGTTTTGTTCTATTGTACATAGGGTCACTATGAGTTGGAACATCATCAATAATACTTAACAGTAACAATATATATGTAATAAGTCAAAGGGTTTTGATATATAATTCTTCTTCATATAAAAGTAATTCAAAAAAGTACTGCTGCAAAAATCCGAAACATTTTTATTAAACGAAAGTAACAAAATGTCACTCTGTTGCTTCTTGACATACCCTTCCTCATCGAGATCTGTATGAGTATACTTCTGAAGGCAGAGTTTGTATCTCTTTAACCTTTCCCTGAAGAATTCGATGCTCCTCCATTTACATCAACTCAAAATGGCAACTTTTGCAACACTGAGGGACTCAAACTGTGTTCCTTTCAATGTTCTCTTATATTTTGAGAACAGAGTCTACAAGGTCAATATCAGAGATAGAAGGGTAAGGTTCTCCAAAGAAATTGTCATAGTTCAGCCCTTGCTACCCTTGAATAATGAGCAGATACACTGTCAAGATAGGGAAAAAATTCCTTTGAAGAAACTTCCTGGCCTTTTCTTCATCAATGCAATTTTTAATTTTCTTAACACTTTTCCTAATAAACACTCATGATCAAACTGTGTATTCCAAGAAAATCTATCACATAACTCTCTTTGGAATTAAATAAACGAGTCACCATAATGTTTTGAGCTGACATCTCTGATGAGAATTTAAACTGGCATAAACCCATACACATATGAACTGGAATACTAGGCGCAATACTTTTTGACTTAACCTTGTGTGTGTCTGTGTGTGTATCTATTTAACCCTCCACACCCTATGAGGTAAATAATAAAAAGTTTAGAAGAGTATAAATGCTGGGGAGATACTAGAATAACAAGACTAAAAGGACAAAAGGAAATGGAAGATTTACAACAAATTAAGAGTCTAGGATGTTCGAACATAAAGAGGAGTTCCAGAAAAAGGATAGTGAAAATTAAGAAGGGGCAAAAAAATTAAATCTATTACTCACACACACACACACACACACACACACACAAAAAGATACAAATTTCCAAACTGAAAAGCATAGTGACTAGCCAGCAAAATTCAGCATGTATCTCTGTAGAATTTCTGAATAGTGAAGAGATAAACAGAAGATATTAAAAGTTGCTTGAGAGAAAATAAACTTCATAAAAATAATTTAGTGTACAGCCGCTATGGAAAAAAGTTTGGTGGTTCCTCAAAAAGTTATACATAAAATCACACTATGATCCAGGAATTCCAAAGGAAATGAAAGCAGGAACACAGACAGACACTACAATGATCATTACAGCACTACTCACCTAACTAAAGGTAAGAAAAACCTAAATGTCCATCAACACATGAATGAACACAAAACGTGTTATATAAACACAATGGAATAATATTCAGCCATAAGACAAATGAACACCT